CAACTGCCCACTCCCTGTCTGGGCTTGTTTAAACGTCCTCGCTGTTTGGCAGGTGACTGCGTGAAGCTGACCGTGCAGGATCACGGACTGCGAGGCCTGTACCGAGGACTCAGCTCGCTGCTCTATGGCTCCATCCCCAAGTCGGCAGTCAGGTTTGATTTGTGTTCCAAGGGGAATTTGGCAGAAAAAAACACAAAGATTGTATCGGAAAACAATGAAGCAGCAGCACTCACCAATCCTCACTCCCCCCCCATTGCAGATTTGGCACCTTCGAGATCCTCAGCAACCCAATGCGAGATGCCACGGGCCGACTGGACAACACGCGGAGCCTCCTGTGTGGCTTGGGGGCAGGTATTACCGAGGCTATCGTCATTGTGTGTCCCATGGAGACGCTCAAGGTGGGCGTGTGAAGGGGGGTCGAGGGGCACATTTGTGATGGAGACATCAATATGAGTGTTGTGCGGCCCTCCCCGCAGGTGAAAATGATTCACGACCAGTGCTCGATGAGGCCTCGCTATCGAGGTTTCTTTCACGGCGTCAGCGAGATCATCAGAGAACAAGGTAACGTCTTCTAAGTCAAGCCCGGGTGACGAATGTTAGCCATTAGCCTCATCTAGGTTTCCCCACCCTTAGGTGTCCGGGGGACCTATCAAGGTCTGACGGCGACCGTGCTTAAGCAGGGAACCAATCAGGCCATCCGGTTTTACGTGATGAATGCGCTACGTAATTGGTACAAAGGTAAGGATTGCACACAAGTAGTCTGAGAGCAAAATTTGGTCCAAAGATCAGAAACCCGTCGGTCTTGTGCCTATTTAAAGCGACATTTTGCTCGCCCCCGAATTCAAGGTGACGATCCCAGAAAGGAAATGCACCCAATCGTCACGGCCATGTTCGGAGCCACGGCGGGGGCCGCCAGCGTCTTCGGCAACACACCTCTTGATGTGGTCAAGACCAGAATGCAGGTTAGATGGGACATTGGGTGTTTAACCTCGGAAGAGTGTCTGATGACCATGTTTGAAAGGGTCTGGATGCCCATCGCTACAAGAACACGGTGGACTGCGCCTTCCAGATCCTCAAGCAGGAAGGACCGCAAGCGTGAGTTGCCTCAGTTTTTCCCTTGACTAGCTAGCTACTAGCGTAACGCTGGCTCATGTCTTGTCCTGTCCCATCCCGTCTCAAAAGGTTCTACAAGGGGACCGTTCCCCGGCTGGGCCGAGTGTGCTTGGATGTGGCTATCGTCTTTGTCATCTACGAGGAGGTGGTCAAGTTGCTCAACAACGTATGGAAGACCCAATAGGAGGACCAGTGAGGACTCCCATAAAACAAGACAGGCAAGGCCTTCCAGAAACCACCGGACATTTCCACATGTCATTTTTGGAAGCTTGGAGGACTGACTGATGAAGAGCAAGAAAGGGGGAAAAAAAGGCCAATTGCTT